AAAATGAAAAGAAATGATGAAATGAAATGAAAAAGTAAAAGGCTGGGAATGTAGCTCAGTGGTAGAGTGCTTGTGTAGCATGTGAAAGACCCTGTGTTAAATCCCAGTACTGGGGGTCGTGGGGGATGGTTCTGTGTAATGTGATATCCCGAATGAGGGATAATTGTTTTTATTTTATCTTAGAATTGATACTTCACAGATTTTAGAAATAAGAAACACTATTTTAAAAAAATTTATTACCTTATTTTGATCTTTCTGCACTTTGGTAAGTCATATTTGCCCATATTTGTTTGTTTTACAAATATTTGGCAATTTATTTAGTTCCTTTGATTAGTCACCTACTCTTAAGCTCCATATCCTTCTTGGAAGTTAAGTACTTTGTTTGAGTAATCATTTTCTCGACTCTATTTCAGAACCTTTTGTCTCTATTGAAACTGGCCTTTGGAGGAGATGGAAAACATCGCTTGGCATTACAGGCCGTGTCTTGTTTGCAGCAGCTGTGCATATATTTAAGAAATAGACTTAACTTTCACCGAGACCCACATTTTTTCTCTAACAAACAAGGTATTTGTGATTATGTATTCACTATCCACTGATGATACTTGCAGATTTTTCTGAGCACTGTTGACTATACTTTAGGGTGTACTTGTATACATTTCACAGCATAAACTCCCACTTCTAAATGTCACCAAATCTATGAGTAGAAATTGGGTGAATGACAGAGCTACCATGAGATCCCGTGCTTTTTTTTTTCTCCTTTAATAAGAGGCATGGCTGTTCATTTGGGAAATTTGAACAAGTTATATATTGGGTTAACAAATTCTTTGGTTTGAAAAATATTGGTTTGTATTTTATCAAAACTATTTTTTTGCAATTTGTGTCATAGTCGGAGTTTATGATGGCAATGCCAGACTTTTCAGAGAAAAAGTGCCACCTTATGACCAAATAGAGTACTATATTGGTATTGATAAAACAGTATCTACAACTTATTTCTGTGTGCTTACACAGTATAGATTGAAAATTGAACATTAGATTACAGCCATTTCTCATCATGTCTGATGTAAATCTCTATTTTATTGGGAGTTTCACTGACCTTTGCTTTTTGAATATTTATGCTTTGCATTGGCTTTATTATAGATTTGGTATGTTTAGGGTCACTCTTGAGGTACCACTTTCTGCAAGTGAGTGACACAGAGAGCTTCTGGGTATCCCATACCTAATTAGAAAGGGATTTTTCATGTTTGGTAAAATAGGTGATGTCAATGAAGATTTATCAGTGTATTAAATAAATATTTATTTGTCATCTACTGTGTACCAGCTGGTATTCCAGACTCTGGGAAATTATAGCATTGAACAAACAGTGAAAGTCCTTGTCTTCATGACTTGTATTTTATACAACAGGAGAAAGATATAAATACGTAGGTTTGGTTCAGGTAACTTCTTAAGCCCTCTAAGGAAGGGCCAGTGTGACAGAACACAACCAGGGATACATAGCTTACTCTGTTGATTGATTTGACTTTGCAGTACAGGATCTGAGCCAGGGCCTCACATGTGCTAGGCAAGCTCCTCCACTGAGTCACATCCCCACTTCATAGCTGACTGTGGATAGGATGGTCAGGGAAAGCCTTTCAGAGGTGGCAACCTGAGGGTGACAAGAAATCCTCCACTTGAGGGGACAGAGTATTCCAGGGAAGGTCAGGGACCTCAAGACAGTGGTGAGCATGCTGTGCTTGATTAAAAGAAATAAGACCTGTGAGCAGGGGGTATATAGCTCATGAGGAAGAGTGCTTGCCTGAGTGCACCAGGCACTGGGTTCAATCCCCAGCACCACGAGA